GTGCCTGGAACAAATTTATAATTGCTATATACTGGAGTGAAACATGTCTTAATTGTAGTGCAGAGTGTGTGGCTTCAGGATACAGGTGATCTATTATTTTTTTTTGCACTGTTAACTACAATCAAGGATAGACCCAGCGGTTAATCAAGGGGCTTGGAATGAGTGAATTCTGCCATATACAAGTTACTTTTATTTTCCACATCATATTAACACAATTCCCCCCCTGCATCAACTTTGCTTTGTCTGACCACAGTTTTTGGGATGACAGTCTAAAGCAGGGGTGTCCAGCCTTGGCAACTTTAAGGCTTGTGGGCTTCAATTCCCAGAATTCCTCAGGCAGCTTGTCTGGCTGGGGAATTCTGGGAGTTGAAATCCACAGCCCTTAAAAGTTCCCAAAGTTGGGCACCCCTGGTCTAAACAACAATACTTTTTTTTACTCTTATACACTGAACATATAAAGTATGTTATGAGTTTTAATGCATCGTGAGTATCCCAGAACACCGCAAAAAAGCAGATGGTTCACAGGTGACAGAAGAACGCAATCTCCACAGGGGGAAAAAATGTTTTGGGGCTGGAAAGCACAAAATCCATTCAAATGTCTAATCACAGCCAGGGTCATCATGTCTCAGATCATGAAGACGTTCTTGGGGCGGAGGGGAGGGGGGAATCATGGAAAGTAACTTTTACTCAGATTTTTTTTTTGAAACATATAAATCAATCGAATAAATCAGCAAAAATAATAACTGTAAAAAAAGTGTTTCTAAGCCTATTCAGCAAGCTGTGAAGCTTTGCAGCACAAAATATAGTTTAGAGGAGTGTCTTCATCACGGACCCCCTTTAAATACTTTTTTAAGAAGAGACTGGACAGCCATTTGTCCGAAATGGTATAGGATTTCCTGCCTGAGCAGGGGGTTGGACTAGATGACCTTCAAGGTCCCTTCCAACTTTATTATTATTATTATTATTATTATTATTATTATTATTATTATTATTATTATAATCATAACATTTCTTCAAGTCCCCCTATGATGACATTGTGCCCCTCCCCCTGGGGTCTGTGGACCACAGGTTGAGAACCACTGGTTTACAGGGCAATAGAATACCTCTTCCCCCCCCCAAATACCTATGGTCTCTAATAGGATTACAACTTTGCAAATTCAGAATAATATATTTACTCAGATATATTCTAGGGCTTTATCTTTAGCAGCTTAATGGCATGCATATCTCCTCACTTGGGTTTGTCAACTGAGATAATGGGTATCATAGTTAACGTCTGCCGGTGCCCAGGAATTTCAATAAATCTATAAATTTCTAAACTGTCGGTTATGGGAAAACCAGGGTAGCCTATTTTGAGGCAAATTCTCAACCTCCTCTTTGTCCCGTTGTCAGTGGATCACAACATACAGCTTTTCTTCATCCCCCCTCTCTTTTTTATGAATAGTTTGACAGGAATGGCTGCTTTTTAGTTTTTTGTCATTGAGTTGTTTCATTTGCATTTCTAAAATCCGGTTCCTAGGTTGATTGGCATTTTGCAAACTATCCTGATGGTGGCATTTAACCCCTTTAAACAAGTGCTTTCTCGTGAATTTTTAGTTTACAATCCGCTGCAGACTAAATTCAGACCTTTTGAGTCACAGGAGAATACCATCTATGAAATTCATTGGTGTCTACTTCCAGTGGGAACACACTTCAGTTGGGCCGGCGAACTTCAGAAGTTCACCTTGCCGCACACACAAAACCTGTTAACGTTCGTATTTTCAACTGCCCAAATCAAAAATTGAGGGAAGGCAAAAGGGGAAAAGAAAAAAAAAGTGAACAGAGTAACGGATCCAAGTTTTATTTTTTGCAATGAATGTTTTTTTTGCAAATCTTCTCTACTTTGGGAAATCTTCCTCGGCTGTGTAGTTAGATGAGGATAGACGCAGCAGTTATGATATCATAACTCAGAATAGTTGCAGGGAGAGGGCAAGGCTTTTGGAGAGAGCATGGTTATCTTCAGCATTTCCTATAACTGCACTTATTGCATTGCTCAAGGTAGCTTATATATAGTGTTACCTGCTCCTCTCTTTCCCCAGAAATGACAGCGCTGGGGTTGGACTGTGGTGAGGACTGGGCTCCTTTGATGGGTGTCTTTGGAGATACTGATTATTCTATTTTTACTCTTAGAAATGAACGAATCCGTTCCACAGTTTGAATTGCAGAGAAGGGTTGCTAAGTAGCTGGACCTTTTTCATCTGAGGGCCCTTTCCTGACATCTAACGGAGAGATGGACGTTGGCAAATTGCCCAGTAAAAGCATGGTTGCGAATGTACTTCTCTAGGTGAACTTATTTGCTCAAAGCTCACATAAAACTCCTCATGAAACATACCCATTTTCCTGAAACACGGGCAGGGAGGATGAACAGACAAAACCGTACACAAGGCTTTCAGTGCCACCAGTTGCTGCTCTAGATCCTATTTATCTGGGTCAAGGGGCAGCATTTCCCACAAAATGCTCTCTTATCTGTCTTCAAACGGTGGAGCCAGAACTTGAACCCAGGATCTCGTGCCCAGAAGGCAAGGATTGGGCCATTAGAAGTGCAGTTTCTCTCCAGTTTTAAGTGCATCTTTCTTGTGCCTCTTTCTCCAGAAACAAGAGCACTGCGATCAGAGAGAAAAAGATTGACCCAAAGTTACTTGAATACTAGAACGTTCGCATGTGTCCTTTAGACGTACACAAGTAGTTCTCGACTTACAAGCACAACTGAGCTGAATTTTTCTGTTGCTAAGTGAGAGAGTTGTTAAGTGACCCTTTCTTACCGCATTTGTTAAGTGAACAACTTGCCATAGTTAAGTTAGTCACACCATCGTTGCGTGAATCTGGCTTCTCCATTGACTTTGCTTGTCAGAAGGTCGCAAATGGGGATCACATGACCTCGGGACACCGCAGCCGTCGTAAATACGAACCAGTTGCCAAACATCCAAATTTTGATCACTCGACTGTGGAGACATTGCAACGGTCGTAAGTCTGAAAATCAGTCATAAGTCACTTTTTTTTATTGCGGTTGTAAATTCAAATGGTCACTAAATGAACTTTTGTAAGTCAAGGACTACCTGTACATCAAATCATGTGTCAGTGATGCTTTGATTTCACCTCACCGAGTAGGCTGGGCTTTTATGACCTCCCCAAATGGCATCAAGGGCTTTTCCTGTTAACTAGTGAATTTTGGTGGGTGGATCAGAAGTGGCACGAATCCTCAAACAGTATTTCACTACATCAGAAGTCACAGTGTTGGATAATGAGTGCAGAATCTGGCTTTGAATCACTGTATTTTGTGCAACACGGTGTCTGAAATGCAAAGATGATTCAGTAACTACTTGTCCTGGCCATTATGTTATCATCAGTACAGTTAATAATAAGTGTTTGGGTTTTTTTTTTTNTTTTTTTTTTTACCTGATGATGACATTGGTATAACTCAATTGCTTGCATCATATAACTTATTATCTAATTCCTTTTCTGCCTGGAATCCTGCTTAACTTTCCTACTGAGGAAAAACAGAAGTGTAGATAATCAATGGACAGGAAAGAAGTGGAAATCAAACCGTGTTTCCATGTTTAAGGCAGCAGATGGCATTTTGTATGTATGTTAAAGGCCGCAGAATTTTGAATTTTATATAACTATAATCTCTGAATACTGAAAAGGTGAACAGTTCTTAGACCATGTGAATAAAGGCGAAGCCTGAAACATTTTGAAAGCAGAACGTAGTGAAATCCAAATGTGGAATTAGGATGCTAATTTTGTGCAGATCCAAGTAAGTGCTGTACAAAATATTTTCCAGGTAGAAGGGGCTTTATAAAAGACACATAGTTCTTGGCTATATTGCTCAGCCCCCCTCCCCCAGACAAATATATCGACTGATTATTTTATTACAGTGATCTTCTCTGCAAGGAATTCATTGTAATTCTGCTCACTCACAGAACCGAGAAAAAAAGGGGTTTGTTTTTTTTCTCCAGTTTTGCTGGCTATCAGCATGATAACTGCAGATGGAAATTAGATGAATTTAGTAACTGCCATCCAGATATAGATGTTTCTTCCAAACACCTCCAAAAATACAGTTCCTACAGACACATTTGTAAAGGGAAATGATTCTCCCTTTCATTTCCCTGTAGCTTCTCTGGCTTCTCTCCTTTTTCATTTCTTCAAGCTTCTGTAGCCATGAAATTCCTAGAACAATCAACTAAAAAGCTTATATCATACAAGTCTGAAACTTCCAAATTTGCCTGAGGTGGAACATTTTTTTGTGGAAAGCCTTGAAAATATGTGTATGAATATTTTTACTTATTCTGTCCAGTGTTATATATCCAGTAAGCATTTGGCTGTCTTCAGTTGCGACCAGCAGAGAGCAGTATCTTATAAAGACTTTGCTCTGGATTTTTTTAGTTGTTGTTAGGACTCCTTGGAAATAGGTGTCTATTCTTTACAGTTCAGCTGTCACTGCTTAAAAAAAAATTATATTAAAATGATAAATTAAAAAAAAACAACGTTGCCTAATCAGATTTTAGCCTAGGTTCCAAGAGTGAAGAAACAGCTGTATCTTAAGACTGCTGCTGTATTCCTTTTGTACATTTGACAAGTCTTTCAAAATCCAAAACCATCTCACCAGCCCACCCATGGAACACTGCAATCCACAACTAGTACTGACACATGTAACCAGTCAGTGTTGAAATCTGGGAAATAGAACGATACTCCTGGAAGCTGTATCCTGTGATTTAAATTCCTCACTCCTTCTTCGGGACAATTATTGGACCTATTTGAGGTTTGTAAGAACGAGGACTTGTTACAGACATCAAGGTAGATTCCAGCCGCTGGATTAATCACACGGCTTGGGAATTCTCAAATTTGAAGAGGGGGGGGGGAAATAAAGAAAGAGGACTGATGGATTATAAAGCCCTGAAAGAGAGCCTGACTCTGGCATTTGCCTCCGGGTTGCCCTAATTGAGAATTCCAAATTTCTGTTCCAGGTTTACAGAATGGGGGAAGATTTGCCGAAAGACGCAGAGGCAGAAGCAAAGGAGGACGACGCAGCCCTGATTGAGTTTTACAGCTCTTTCAAGGACCTGTTTGAGTTCTTCTGTCTAAACACCACGATCCACGGCACCATCCGCCTGGTCTGCTCAAACAGCAATAAGATGAAGACCGCGTTCTGGGCCCTGCTTTTCTTAACCAGCTTTGCTATGCTCTACTGGCAGTTTGCACTGATCTTCAACCAGTACTGGGCCTATCCCGTCGTCATGTCCATGTCTGTTCATTCAGAACCCAAGATGTTCCCTGCCGTCACCCTTTGCACTTTGAATCCATATAGGTGAGTTTTTCCCCACCACCACCACTCCTCACCCCTTCTGAATTTTGGGAAATTGAACCGAAGTAGTTTCCCTACCTCACTATATTCATTGTTATAGTTGTCCCAAGGATATTATTCTTTAGTATTCGGGGCTTCCTCCTCTGATTTATAATCTACACTGTTGTTGTTTTTACTGTTTTCACCTGGTTCTAGTCTCTCTATAGCGTCCCTCTCTTATCGTCACTTGGAGAGCTGAAGCAGCTTACGGATTGAATAAATAAATTTATATGGGCGTCGTAGCCAATTGGGGATCAGAGCGTAATGAGGCCAGTGTTATGGCTCTAGACAGCTGAACTGATTTTAGCTCTTGAGGATTGTTGACTACGAGTGCCAAGGTTCCTGGAGATTAATCAAGCTTAATTAATGGGATGGTTAGCATAACCCAGCATACTACGGTGTTTAGGGAATAGGATAGTACTTCCTCCCAAACAAGATCTTGGAGGCTTTGTCATGTCTACCATCTTCCCAGGATCAGCCCAGTCAATCAAGATATAGCTAAGCTGGACAACCTAGCGCGAGAGACCTTGTACAATTTATACGGCTTCCACATTCCTAAGAGCACTCTAGAAGATGTCAGTATCGACTTTTCCGAAGAACATCCTGGCAAGGCCAACCGCTCCAAGTTTCACCTGGATCGTAATATCGCCCTAGTGAAGATGGGCGGGAAAGTGGGTTTTCGGCTGGTAAGTGGAACCCCTCCCTCCCCCCCCTTTGCAATGCCTTCCTTTATTGACAACTTGCATCAAATTTAGAGTTTGTAGGATTCTCAACGTAGACATTTTTGGGGGGTGGGGGGGTCATCCCCTGAACAAGAGATCAATGAGAACTTAACATTTGGTCCAGGTAGTCCTCGACTTAACGGCCACAGCTGAGCCCGCAATTTCTCTTAAGTGAGACCACGGTTAAGTGAGTTTTGCCCCATTTTACGACTGTTCCGGCCACAACTGAATCACTGCAGTCGGTAAGTTAGTAACCCGGTTGGTTGTTAAGTGAATCTGGCTTCCCCCATTGATTTTGCTTGCTCGAAAGGTCGCAAAAGGTGACCACGTGACCTTGGGACGCAGCAACGGGGCCAGTTGCCAAGCCTCTGAATTTTGATCACCTGATCGTGGGGAGGCTGCAAAGGGTGTAAGGGTGAAAAATGGTCATCCGTTGCCTTTTTCCGGCGCGTCGTAACTTTGAACGGTCACTAAACGAACTGTTGTAAGTCGAGGACTACCTGTGTTCACAGTGCAGTGATTCTGGAAAAGAGAAATAACTTTTGCCCAGGTAACCTTGCCACCTTCCTTGAGTTTCTTAATTCGCTGATTAGATAACTCTTAATCACAAGGAGATAACCCCATCTCTATTATCAATCGGTTGGTTGGGAGTGATAGGAAGCGCCAGGCCGTCAGATCTTCAGGAAGTGAGGCAAGCTTCTGCTAGTGTAGAATTATAATGATGAAAGAGGGAGATTTTTTTTTTTTTTAAATCGTGACTCAGTCCAGTGCAAGGCACTTCCCCCCCAGCTCAGTTCTTGCCTCTCCCACAATAGCCTCGCTTCTTTTGTACCTGTAAAATAAATAATAATCATGGGCTTAAGGCATGTGTTATTGTTTAAACCCTAGAAACAAACCTGACAATTAAGAACAGCTTAGGGAACACAAGGAGGATTGCTCAGAGCTTCCATGGGACAGCTCATGAGATACCGGCTGAGTGAGAAGATCCCATTGGTATCTTGACCTACGGATTCTAGATCTATGTGTGGTTATGTGGTCCATGTACACGTATGAATCTAATTTCAACGTTTTGTTAGCAGCAGCAGTGTTAACTTCTCTTCCTTGATCTTGCACAAAGAGCTGGGGGATATTTAGAAATACCTCCCAGCAGAAGTGATTTAAAAGTGGGGGGAAACAGAGAGGTTTTCTGACTACTTTTAAAGGTTGATTCTTACCCTGGTCTCTCTCTTCTCTCTCAGACGTAGGGAATAATGTCTGCTAAACGTGAGAAAAGCTAGACCAGAATAATCAAGGTTCAGAGGGACAGCTAATCCACCACTCACGTGACAAATGTCCCTTGTCTCTTATTTGTGGGTTTTTAATTGTAGGAAGCAGTGCCCAGGAGAGCAGCTTTCTAGAAGTAACAAAGATCAAAACCTTGGTCCAGGTAGTCCTCAACTTACAACAGTTCATTTCGTGAGCGTTAGAATTTACAGTGGCACTGAAAAAAGTGACTTACGACCATTTCTCATACTCACGACCGTTGCAGCATCCCCAGAATCATCATCAAAATTCAGACCCTTGGCAAACTGACTCATGTTTATGACGTTTGCGGTGTCCTGGGATCTCTTTTTGCGACCTTCGAACGAGCAAAGTCAATGGGGGAGGCCAGATTCCATCCACAACCGTGTTACTAACTTAACAAAGGCAGAGTTTCACTTCACAACTGTGTCAAGGAAGCTCGTAAAACGAGGCGAAACTCACTCGCTTAGCAACAGAAATTTTGGGCTTTGTTGTGGTCATAAGTCAAGGATTGTCTACATTATAGCTTCTTAGAATCCGAACATCTTTACTCTCCTCTTTTTCTTTTTGTTCCCAAGTGCAACACAACAGGCGAAAGCTGCTACAACAAGGTCTACATTTCTGGAGTGGATGCTATCCAAGAGTGGTACAGGTTCCACTACATGAATATCATGTCGCAGATTCCCTCCATTATTAAAATGTCTCCACGTGATGGTCACATCAAAAACCTGATCTATTCTTGCCAATACGATGGACAGCCGTGCCGAACAAGGTAATCAAGGTCTGCATCTACTACGGGGGGGAGGGAGGGGGGGTGTATCGAGGAGACGAAGTCGGGAAATGAAAGCAAAGCCAGGAAGAAAAACCAAATGTACAGGTATAGTATAGGGGGTACCTTGCTCAATAGAAGTAACTGTGAGAGGGACCTCGGAGTCCTAGTGGACAATCACCTAAATAGGAGCCAGCCGTGTGCTGCAGCTGCCCAAAAAGCCAACACAGTGCTAGGCTGCATTAACAGAGGGATAGAATCAAGATCACGTGAAGTGTTGATACCACTTTACAAGGCCTTGGTAAGGCCACACCTGGAATACTGCATCCAGTTTTGGTCACCACGATGCAAAAAAGATGCTGAGACTCTAGCAAGAGTGCAGAGAAGAGCAACAAAGATGATCAGGGGACTGGAGGCTAAAGCATATAAGGAATGGCTGCTGGAATTGGGTATGTCTAGTCTAATGAACAGAAGGACGAGGAGGGACAGGATAACAGTCTTTCAGTATCTCATGGGCTGCCCCAAAGAAGAGGGAGTCAAGCTATTCTCCAAAGCGCCTGAAGGCAGGACAAGAAGCAACGGATGGAAACTAATCCAGGAGAGAAGCAACCTAGAACTAAGGAGAAACTTCCTGACAGGGAGAACAATTAACCAGTGGAACAACCTGCCTCCAGAAGCGGTGAATGCTCCAACACTGGAAGTTTTTAAGAAGAGACTGGACAGCCATTTGTCCGAAATGGTACTATAGGGTTTCCTGCCTGAGCAGGGGATTGGACTAGATGACCTCCAAGGTCCCTTCCAACATCATCATCATCATCATCATCATCATCATCATCATTATTATTATTACTACTACTATTATTAAACCATGGAAGTTTCTTAACATGCTGATTCCCCTTTGGAAATGAACACAGATCATTAAAATGGATTATTCTCTAAACAACGGCAGGATCCCTTTGTGCCTTCCCTTCTAACCCCACCTGTCAAGTGCACCTCCCTTATTTAAATCACCAGTTTCACAGGCACCAAGTAGTTTCTGAAGTTCCGTAACAGGGCGTTGACAGCTTTCTCCTTTGGGGAAAAAAAAAAATATATCCAGGGCACTGAAGGGGAGACAACGCAGGCATTGCTCCAAACTCCATCTGCTTCCTATGTCCCTTGAGGTAAACGGGAGGCTGACGCTATTCCGGGCGCCGCCCAACGCTCTCCTGCTCGCATCAGCCTTCCACATAGTAGCGGTGCGTGGAGGACGATCTGATAAAACCAGTGTAAACCTGCCCACACCTGATTAAATAACTCCTCCTGACACTTGCCCAGAGCATTGTCCTGGGGACATTGCAAGGGCTTTGTGCGACTCAGCTGGACAGGAAAGGAGGTCAAAAGGTGGATTTTCTACCTTTGCTCCCCTTTTTTGCCCCTATTGCGAAGCCACCCAGCCCAAAGCTCGTCGGATTGCACAAATAAGTGATAGGTTTCGCTTTGTATCCCTGGAACGACACACACCCGGGATGGACAAATGGATTGGCTTGGGGTTTCTTTCCCCCCCGCTTGCCTCTTTCTTCTCGGTCTTCTCTTATTTATTTGAGATATTTAGAGATACCGAAAATTTAATGTTTAACCTGTCAGAAAGGGGAAATGCTCCACTGCACGCTAGGAGCGTAATCAGGTGAACAGCGTGTCCCTTGCAGCTCAGAATAGGCATTGATGCAATCCGGGTTTATCTTTTCTCCTGCTCCACCTGTTCCTTCTTACAATGTAGGCATCATGTTCCTCAGAGCTCACGTGTGGCCTTCAGCCCAGAAAACTGCACGGCTGGCTGAGGAATTCTGGGAGTTGAAGTCCACACGTCTTAAAATTGCCAGGTTTGGAGACCCCGATTTAGATAGATTAGCCCATGCAATATGACAAAAAGTTTGCTGACCATTTTTAAAGAGTCTCCCCAGGGATTGCACCCAAGACTTTCCCATCCCATCCACAGACCTTGAAAATATATGCATCTCTGTGCTAAGCAAGATCTTGACCAAACCTTTAGCTAGCTCTAACGCTTCCAGATTAATGACATCTAACCCCTTTCACCTTTAGAAGGCATGATTTGATGAAGCAAGCAAGCATTGCTGGCGTCTGATCAACCTGAGACCTTTTGCCTATCAGCATTTGAATTTTCAGAAAATTTTTCACTTCGTGCCAGCTCTTTGATTACACTTGGCTCGAGTACCCTGCAGGGGGTGGCTTTTGACCTTAGAATTCAGCTGTGGTTCCTCACCATTTTTTTTTACCCTGCCTCATTATGTCTGCATGTACACAGTATCACCTTTCCTAGGTTTCCCCCCCCCCTCCCCACTTTTGGTGGAGCCAAAGCAGGAAATGGCAACCTCTGCCCAATTTGTTTTGAAATTATACACAAAGGAACAGACTGCAAGAAGCAAAACCATCACGCTATCAGCCTATTAGCTAAGCAAACGTTTGTTTTAGGCTTATCCATACAAAACTTAAGAAATTCACAAACGCTTGGACATTCTAAGGAATTGCCAGATGTGAACTTTACTCAATCCACAGAGCAGGTGTAAATATAACAGATTGCACAAGGTCTCCACAAGATTTAGATTAAATTGAATCTTACCGTTAGAAAGATACACGTTTTTAAAATGTCTCAGAGCCCATCCTGCAGAAACCACTGTAGTGTATTAGTTAAAATGTGTTGGATTAGGACACGAGGGCCCAATTTAGCTGATTTGATTAATGGGTGACTTGAGGCCCATTGCTTTCCTAGCCCAGCCTACCTATATATTGCTGCAGGGCGTATATGAGGCGAGACAATCTTCTATGAAAAAAAGATTGTTTATAGCAGGGGTCCCAAACCCCCAGGTCTTGCTTGACCCAGTACCTGACCACAGCCTGTTCAGAACTGGGCCACAGACGTGGCGAGTGTGCGAGCTCCATTTGCACGAGTGGCAGGCACTCATGTCCGCTGCTTGTGCAAATGCAGCTGCGTGTATGTGCACTTGCCCACCACTCACCTGGAACCATCCCCTCCCACCCTCTTCCTCTCCCCCCCCTCCCCCACCAGTCTGCAAAGCTGGAAAGGTTGGAGAGCTCTGGTTTGCGTGGTTTATCACAACCAGAACAAATGAAACATAAAACCCTTCCAGATTTGGAGAAAACCGGTTCACTGTTAACAATCACCAGACCCAGAAAGTGGCTTAGTTCAAATTTATTCTGGCACTATTTTCATTTTTCTTGTCTTCTGTGGTGTCTTTTCCCAACAGCGATCACGAACATTTTCACCACCCTGTCTACGGAAGCTGCTTCACCCTTAACAAGAATGGAACGGACAAGTTCTGGAAAGCTTTCAAGCCAGGAATTGTTTATGGTATGTACTTGAGTCAGCCAGGGTTAGCCAGGGTTAGTAATAAACTCAGTTTAGAACTGAATTGTAGGGGGGGGGGGAGGTGGTCTTTTCTTTTAAATCCAGGCATAATGCTCAACTTCCTAGCAGAAAGCAGATTTTTTTCTAGCTGATTAAAACCATTCCTGAAGCTGCTACTGTTCGGAAGAAAAAGATACAGGCATTACACAAGTACCTGTATATATATATATACAGGAAGTTTTTCAGACAGACCGGTCTGATTGAGAACACCTTGACATTTTTAACTTGACACCTTGACATTTTTAACTGCTATACTGCAGTTTTACTTTTTACAATATCTTTTGCCTTGCAGCCCCATAACTAGGGGCGTTAAGCAGGCTCAAGTCGCAACTGCGAAACATTTTAAATCCAAATTTCTTTTTCTGACAAAGAGTTAAAGAATTAAATCGGGAGACTAAGATGGCCATTTCTAGCTTGTTCTGCTTTCATCAGTTAGCCATATCCTTCATGGGATTCGAACCTGGGCAGTTTATGGGATTCGAACCTGGGCAAATTACTGCCTAGTATGTAAACTGCTAACTGATGAAAGCAGAACAAGCTAGAAATGGCCATCTTAGTCTCCCTCGTGAGCACCAGGAATATTATAAACTGAAAATGTTTAATAAAATTACCAAGCTTTCGTCGGTACACTACCGACATCGTCAGGGTTAGATGCTAGTCAGTGGGAGAGTTTCTTTTATAGGTTGTTCAATATATATACACATACATACATACATACATACATACATACATACATACATAAACACACACCTAAAAATTGACTGATTTTAATAAGTGTGGAAAAGCAGGATCCCATGACCTCATGTCACCTTAATGATTAAAAAAAACAGAGAAAGTGAGAGACAATGAGAAACGATCTGGAGGGCAGGGCGGATAGAACGAAAACAGTGCTACAGAACTGGGCAGCTATTTGGGGATCACAGTGCTAGATACAGGTTGCTCTGGACATAGCAGCCATAAGATACAGGATGTGTTTAAGCAGGCAGACAGCAAGTTTATGAGATGCTAACCCTGTTTTTAGAACTAATGTGTTACTCTAGAGAGATCGGAAGAAAGAAGATAGGGTGAGTGAGTCACAGAGATTTTCCATTTCGATGTAAATCGGGCATTAAATCTCCCTGAGCCTTTCAGAGCTCTTGTTGTTTTTAAAAGTCCTAGAAAAACATCGCTGTATTGTTTTTGCAGATTGGCAGGAGATGCCCAGTAGAATTCGTGAGAATATAGTTTTTTTAAAAAGGCAATAAAGCAATAAAGTAGAGCACACAATCCTGAATGAGCATAAAATAATAAAAGATGTACTTGTTATGTACAACACCGGCAATATTAATAAAGAGGGGCAGCTCAGGGGAAACCAAAATGGAAACATTAAAAGCAAAAGGAGAAACAGGGTTGACTTGCACAATCTAATGTCACCACCAAAGAGTTCTATGCGTGGCCAAAAATAAAAAAACCTCAGAATTTAGGGAGGCCAAAACATCCGGTTAGAGATCTGCCGTTTTTAATATAGAAGTGGCCAGAGAAGTGTATTGAAGATTTATAACATTTCAGCCCATGTAAATGTGTGGATGGTGCAAATTACACTAAATGTGAACAAACATTTCCCCACATCCCTAATCTGTTTGAAATCTGAACTTCCTCGATCTGTACAGGAAACATAGAAGCACATGCAGCTCCACTATTACATCTTCCTCAAGGCAGATACTCCCTCCACTATTCACATGGGAGGCTGCAGAGTCACAGTGATATAATTCACAAGCGAAACACACAACCCACACAGCCGGTGTTCTCCCACACTTGCCAATCACAACACCAGAGGCAAGCCACGTGCAGGGAAGATTCGGTTTCTATCAGCCTCCTCACCTGAAGCGCAATCTGAGCGGGATGGAAACAAGCCCTGCCCTCTTTTGCTGAATCCTGATTTTTAAAATGCCGTCCTGTTTCTCCTTCCCTCCCTCCTGCTTCCCAATACAGGCCTCTCTCTGATTCTCAAAGTGGACCAAAAAGACCACATCCCGCTGCTGTCCACCACGGCCGGCGTGAAAGTCATGATTCACAGGCACAACCAGACCCCCTTTTTAGAGCACGAAGGTTTTGATATCAGGCCTGGGATCGAAAGCACCATTGGAATCAAACAGGTGGGCCTGCTGGCCTCTCAAAGGCGACTTTCAAGAACTGGAAATGTTGGCAGGGAGAGTTTTATGTCTTTAGGGGAGGCCTGGCAGGGGATTTACAGGTAGTCCTCTACTTTGGACTACAGTGGAGCCCTCTTGCTAAGCAAAACAGTGGTTCAGTGAGTTTTGCTCCATTCTGTGACCTTTCTAGCCATAGTTGTTAAGTGAATCGCTCCAGTTGTTAAGTTAGTCACATGGGTTGTTAAGGGTATCCGGCTTCCCCATTGACTTTGCTTGTCAGAAGGTCCTAAAAGGAGATCACATGACCCCAGGACACTGCAACCGTCATAAGTACGTGCCAGTTGCCAAGTGTCTTGAATTTTGATCATGTGACCATGGGGATTCTTCAACCGTTGTAAGTGTGAAAAGCAATCATAAGTGACTTTATTCAGTGCTGTTGTAACTTCAAATGGTCACTGTAAGTCGAGGACTACCTGTACAGTTCAGTGTTGACTCTGAGGAACACCATTAACCATAAAGGTTTTAGACTGTTCTCTGTGTGTATATATACCCTCCCAAACAACCAGCCAGGGCAAGTGAATTAAGCATATTCCCAAACAGACCATGGAGGGAGAATATTTCAACCTAGTCCAGACAGTACTAAGCATTAGCAGCTGGGTTTGGAGACATTCGAATATTGCAATAAAATACTGTTTTTTCACTTCCAATGGCATAGGACGAGGTGTCCCGCTTGGGTGGGAGTTACGGCCTATGTACCAATAATGGGGAAGATGTCAACATCAAGTTACTCTACAACAGCACATATACGCTGCAGGTACGAAGAGGCCGTGGTCCTCATTTATCTGTTCATGTCTCGTCTTTGAATCCTGGCCATCTCAGTTGACCCTGGCCCAAGGTTATGACCAAGAAAAAGAAGTCCAGAATTCCAAGAATTTCTCTTGGAAATTCCAGAGATCGCTGCATCCTTTTAGTCACTGAACTCCTTAGGAAGTGATATTGATCACTTTACAGTTTCCAGATAACAGTCATTATGAGCTATTGATTATTGTCCATTAATTTGTCTAGTAGTCCCTCTTTTTCACGTCTTCCCAGTTGGCAGCCATCACTACACTGTATAAATACATAGCTTATATTTAACACGGGTCCCCTTCAAACAATATCTAGCTCCAATTTTCCCCAATGCCTGGGCTATGAATTTAATTGCAATCCCGGTATGAAATTCGGCATCTTGTCGTCTCGTCAATAGATCTTTCCCCCTGCTCACTCCCAGAGCAGTTTAATTTTCCTGTTCCTCGGTTGGATGTAGCCCCCACTGCCCCTCTTAACCCACGCTCCTCGTGCAGTCTAGCGAATCTGAGCTTCCACGTTCAGCCCGTGAGGAAAGTCCCTCTTCCCTTGATCTGCTCTCCCACCAACATTGCCGTCTCACCGTCTTGCAGGCCTGTTTGCATTCTTGCTTCCAGCATCATATGGTTGAGAAGTGTGGCTGCGGATATTATTTTTACCCACTACCATCGGGAGCCGAGTATTGCAACTACAATAAACATCCTGCCTGGGGTAAGGCGTCACGACGGACAAGGAAATTGGTCTGGCTGGTCTCCTTTACATCTTTCTCTCTAAGCTGGCTTAGAGGGTCTTGTTTCACTCTATGTTAGTCAGAGGCAGTCTCTATCGGGGTGGGGAGATAGGCAACCTCCCGCTCTAGGCTACAGTGCAGCTGCCTTTTCTTTGTGCAACCTGATGCCAAAACCTGATGCTCTCTACATGGGGCTCCCCTTGAGGTGCACCTGGAGGCTCCAGCTAGTTCAGAATGCGGCTGCGCGGGGGATTTTGAGGGCCTCTAGATGCTCCCATGTAACACCTCTCCTGCGCGAGCTGCACTGGCTGCCGGTGGCCTTCCGGGTGCGCTTCAAGGTGTTAGTAACAACTTTTAAAGCGCTCCATGGCAATGGACCTAGGTATTTGCAAGACCGCCTCCTACCAAACATCTCCCTTCGACCAGTCCGCTCCCACAGAGAGGGCCTCCTTAGGATACCGTCGGCCAGCCAATGCCGGCTGGCGACCCCCAGGGGGAGAGCCTTCTCTGTGGCAGCTCCTGCCCTCTGGAATGACCTGCCCCCCGACCTATGTACAGTTGCGGACCTGCGCCTCTTCCGCCGAGCCCTGAAGGCCCATCTGTTCCATGCGGCCGGCCTGGCGTAGTTTTGATTGGGTTTTGTTAGGGGTTTTATATTTTAGAGCAGGCTTTTATGTAATATTTACTGTGATTTTTATTACTGCCTGTTCACCGCCCTGAGTCCCGTAAGGGAGATAGGGCGGTATATAAATTTAAATAATAAATAATAAATAAATAAATAAATAAAATGAGTCCTCATGTTACAGATTTTAAGAGCTTCAATGCCATCTTTTTGTTTCACAAAAGTACAGTACAGTTTGACAAGGGAGGACATTTTCTTTTATCATTTCTTTTTTGTTTTTGCAATTCGAGTCCTGTTTATTTTGCCATTATGGTCCCCGTTCTGTAATGGGCTGTGAGAACAACCTTGGGAGATAGAAGGAAACGGTCTGAAAAGAGATATCTCAGCCCACAGAAGGAACGGGGTGGAGGAAACATCTCAGAAGGAGCCCTCTCTAGTTCTCGGAAACATAAAGGCAACAGAGGGGGAGACCTCCTTTCAGACCTGCAAGATTGTGTTATTGTAACCTTACAATAAAGGCAGTGTTGGTACTTGGTAGTTTTTGGTTCCTCTTCTGGACTTTCTCAAAGGGCTGGCGCATTTACTGCGAAATTGACCTGGGCTTAATACTTGAGAAAAAAGGAGGGGGGGGTAAACTTTGCTCTGTCTGTCGATTCCGTAATCGGTCTTTTCAAAAAGTCTCATTGAGGAGAAGGCAGCCTGAATGCCCGCTCAGGTTTAGCATTTGGACAGCAGCCTGATCCAACGTTATTCAGTTGGAAACGGGAAGGGGAAACCAGCCATTGCTCAGCTGTAAATAAAGGAAGTGACGGTCCAGCTGTATTTATCTGGAAACAGGAAACGTGGATTTCCCGAAGCCCAGGCCCAGACCCTTTGAGATCTTCCAACCTGGGTGAATTTTCAGCTGCAATTTACCTGTGGCCGTTGCCTTCTGTTGACCCCATTCCTCTCTTCCCCCAGGTCACTGCTTCTATTTGCTGTACAAAAAGCTCACCGACCACCATTTAATCTGCTTTAGCGAGTGCCCTAAGCTGTGCAAGTGAGTAGCAGGGGAATGTTCATGTGATAGGAGGTTTACCTCCCCTGGTTTTCTGCTGTTCACGGTCTGTCCCATGAACTCTCATCTCCTTCCATGCTTCAGATCCTCCAAGGGTGCATGTGGGCATATAACCGCCTCCTACCAAACACCTCCCTTCGACCAGTCCGCTCCCACAGAGAGGGCCTCCTTAGAGTGCCGTCGGCCAGTCAATGCCGGCTGGCGACCCCCAGGGGGAGAGCCTTCTCTGTGGCAGCTCCTGCCCTCTGGAATGACCTACCCCCCGACCTACGTACAGTTGCAGACCTGCGCCTTTTTCGCCGAGCCCTGAAGGCCCATCTATTCCGTGCGGCCGGCCTGGCATAGTTTGATTATGTTTTAGGGGGGGGGGTTGTATGGGGTATTTTAGAGCAGGCCTGTTATTTAATTTGATTTTAGAACAGAAACTTGCGTATATTTATCGTGGTTTTTATTATTGCCTGTTCACCACCCTGAGTCCCGTAAGGGAGATAGGGCGGTATATAAATTCAATAAATAAATAAATTCAACAAATAAATAAATTCAATAAATAAATAAATAAATAAGCTGCTGCAGACTTGAATTTTCACTGGGCCACCTTTCCCGCCACAGGAACATGTTCCGTCAGCTTCCAGCAGGAAGCAGCTGTGCGGGGCCCTGATTGACCAATAGCTTCCCCCAGATCCCACGAATGAGACTCTCCTTTTAAAAAGGAGTGGCATTTTGCAAGATGCTTGAGGGAAAAAAAATTCCCATTAAAGAAGGCGGAAAGCCTCTTTGATGTAGTGGGAGGACAAGGAAAATGAGGAACTAAACAAGACGTTCAGAAATAAATGTATTGGTTGCCACAGATGTGATTTAAAAAGAAGATAATCTTGCAGGAGGGAAAAAAAAAACCCACCCACATACAGATGTTTGACAAAGAGTTGTACGCCCAGTTCATTTTTTTTTAAATCATCTTATAGAATTACAGTGACCCCAAATCTTTGGGGAGGGCTTGACAATATTGCAAAATATTTGAGGTGAATATGAATGCAAACTTGCTGGATTGGTATGGAATTAACAGCAAACTCTATGTCATTGGCAGGGAAACTTGGTACAAGCTCTCGGCGGGATACGCTAACTGGCCATCAACTAAATCTGAGGTAAAGCAAAGTTGTTGGGGGTTTTGTTTTGTTTTTTGCACAGAATGGGAACAGGGAAAAAAGTAGTAATGACTTACAGTGGACAACATAACAATTAAAGATACTCCCATAGCAATGCTTCCATCCCACATTTCTTGAAAGAATTTGGAAGCTGCCCATCCTCCTCCTGATCTTGGAAGGCTGAGAACAGACAGAGCACACCTTGAGTTATAAATAGGATAAGGATCATATTTTATGAGGCACTTTTCAGGGATAACAATTCAAACACAGAGACACACGTGTATACATATGTATATCCATATGCAAGCATAGAAGGTCAAGCAAATAGTTTTTAAAAAAAAAACCAAAAAAACCCCCCAAAACTGCGGTTATGAAACGGAGAGAAAATAGCGAAAAGAAGTGAGATAAGGCTGACTTAAGACACTACAAACTCTGAATTCAGAGTTAAGAGATAAGAATTCCAGCAAGCCATCCCACCCCGTGGGGAGCTGCAGCCTTGCGAACTGCAACATGGAAGTTCTGGCAGTTGAGCTGCAGTCCAGCCGAGCCAGAAAAAGAAATCTGTCCTGTTGCCCAAGGAGGACGATGTTTTTGCAAGCCCACCAAAGCTCCCTGGATGACTTTGGGCCAGTCACTCTACATCAAACTTTCTCCTGGGGAAGTATCCCATGCTCTTCCTTTGAGTATGATTTTCCAAAAAAAAAAACAAAAAAAATCTCCAACCTTTCCCACATCATCCTTACAGAGATTAGTCAGAATTCTTTGCTGAACCCCCTATTCCTACCAGTTCTCCCCATCTAGCGTGCAGCTTTTGTCTTCTTATGGACCCTTTCACATTTTAATTTTAGTCCCTGCGATTCTATTTCAGAAATGGATTCACAGAGCACTGCAGGCAGACAACAGGTACAACATCACCACCACGAACAGGTGAGTTACCGGATATTCTTGTTCTTTGGTTGGAGAAATCCTACGCTTCTTTTGCAGATGGCGCGTGGCTTGTTTGTTTTCCTGATAGAAAGAATGACAGTTTTCTTCGGGTACTAATGAAATTTTTCTGTTTTTATCAGGTTTTTTTAAATTTATTTATGAAATACAGATTCAAGGAGAAACTTTATGCTAGAGAAATTGGGTTTGCTCACGTTTTCTTTCCTCCATTTCAGCAAGGATATTGCCAAGGTGAATATTTTCTATGAGCAATTAGATTACTACTCTTGGGATGAATCTCCAGAATATAATGTAAGTTGGGAGGAGAGATTCCTCTTTCATGTGTACACTTTATGCCAGGAAGAGAACAATGTTTGAAACGACTAACTGTACGGTTAATATTTTGTTTGGGTTTAGGTGACCCTGGTGATGTCCAACATGGGAAGCCAATGGAGCCTTTGGTTTGGATCTTCTGTACTCTCGGTGGTCGAGATGTTTGAGTTCCTTGTGGATGTCACCATCTTATCTCTCATTTTCTTCTATCGGCGGCTTACAGCTAAGAGAAGACACAAAGTGTCAAGTCCCCCTAAGGTGCCAAGTGTGAGTTTGACTTTGGAGAAATACCGCTACATTGAAGAAGGCTTGGCCCCAGACCAAGATGCAGAGGAATCTCAGGCCAGCCACGAGAATCCGTCCTTCGTCCACGACGAGGGACTCCCTCCGTATTCCAAATATAGCAAATATCAGATGCCGGAACTATATCCACGGGTGGTTCTTCACAGATTTAAGCACCAAGAAGACCAAGGGACATGCCAGGATCCCAAGAGTTAACGGCATTGGAAGAGATTCACAAAACCATTTTCAAAGGATGGAGGAAATGGAGCCTGCGAAGGAAGTGGCGAATTCCACACACTCGGAAATCTCAAAGCCGAAAGGATAGGACCCATGGGATTGGGCATTCAACAGGTGGTGGAATTTATGACTTTCCTCTTCCAGGTTTTTCAGATGGTGCTGGGGCAGATCAGCGACCATGCCTGTAAGTGAAAGACAGGACTTCCTCAATGGGCTAGGTCATGGAGGTCTAACACTCTGCCCTCCTCTTTTCCCACGGTCTAGGCAGTTGACACTGCATGCCGACGAATTCCTGGATCGACTTGAAAATGTGTCTTCCTTTTGTTACTTCTGTCGCAATATTTGTCCTATGGATAACCAGTTTTATTTTGAGCTGTTCCGCAGCCTCTTTTAAAAGTAATGCACCACGTTGTTTTGAGAAGTCTACTTTTTGTGAGCTGGGGCAGCGATTGGCCAGTTCCCTATTAAAAAAAAATAAATCTGTCTTAGTTTTGACTTGAAGCCATCCTGAGAGAACCAGATTCAGCTGGGCACCCTTGACTAGAAAAAAAATTGGATCCTCAACATTTCAGAGATTTGCTCAGGTTAAATGTTAAACCACTCCCATATTTTTTTTTTTAAAAAAAAAATGCCTCTCAGCGGACATTTACAAGGAAACGCTCTGTATTGTCTGCATTATCGGCAGGTCCAGGATCTTGGGAGGATGTGATAACAGTCATCTGTGTTCTTCATTTGAGCAAAAGGACTTTTTGTGCTTGAGTTGACCTGTAAAATCTACGTTGGGTGCTTTTGATGTTTTGTTCCTCTTTTAAAATGTGAAGTTCAATGTTCCCTAAGTTAAACAGGCAAAGGCACAAAGCAATAGTTATCGCAATATGCAAGACAGCCGGTGTCAAAAATTAGTCTTTTTCTGAAACGTGAGTATAGTCAAGGCCTCAGGCAGGAAAGGAAAATAGCTGCATACAACTACATTTCGGTGGTTCGCTGGCAATAACAAACCTTCAGATTGGTTGGATCTGATCTCCTGCCTGGAATACATTTCAGTGGTCACTTTTGCCAATCATGGCTAACATCAGCAAGTTTATTCTTAGATCAGACTAGAAGGAAGTAAGAATTTCTGCAAGCAAAATGTGAGTGGTAGACTATTCGCCAATTCTCAGCAGAGGTAGCTTTGGCATGGCAGAATTTGGATCTGGAACGAAGGAAGCTTTTCCCTTAGACAGAAATCAGAGAATTGGGGATATGCTATTAAATTCTTTTAAGAATCAACTCCGTTGCTGGAGGCTAAAACACAAATTCTATTGAGAGGATCCGTTTTATCACTCCCGTTCACATGTTGCTAGACACAGCAAGTTAATAGCTTAACTCAACCACCCATGTCAAATACCCAACTGATACATACGTGGAGACATTCTGTGAAATTCATGTTCTCTAACTTCTGATTCTGAACAAAGCCAAAATGGCACCATCCATGGAGGAAGAGGGAATCTCCAGGAGACTGGGGGCATCTCCAAGAATAAGAGTTCCAAAAAAAACCCCAAAAAAAACCCAGTTGAGGAGGGGATACTACCAGGGAGCCAAAGAACAAAGAATGACTATTGGTGGGAAAAGGGAGACAGAAAACTGAGTAGAAGAAGAATGCAGTGAGACAGTTTGCAATGTAGCATAGCTGAAAGCCTGAACACAAACACTTCGCCTTGGTCTCATTTGCAGGGACTAATGGCAGTTGAAACCAACACACTTTCTAGAAAGATATCAAGGAACATGAGACACCTTGAGTCAATCTCCTCTTCCAACTGCAACCAGCCCAGTAGTTCTGGACAGTCAATATTTTCAAACAAACCCCCCCACACACACTTTCCCCAGATCTCTGGCAGGCAGAGGTGTGTTAACCTCAGGTATGAACAGACTTCTCTGAATCAGCCTAGGTGGAATTGTGTCATAAGAAACCTGTCATAGTCAGTGTTCCCTTTCTCTCCCCTTTCATTTTGATTTTATTTCTCTAACTGTTGTGCTGCTATTGAGACCTGGGTGTAATTGTAAACATGAATATCTGACTGTAAATTATTTGGGATGTGTGTTTGTATGAGTGGGAAGATTTAAAAAAAACTGAAACTTTTTGGCTTACCTGGTGTCATTTAATAGCTTATTTTACTTGTGTGTTGTTTGTCCATTCTTTTGATTTTGGAAAGTTGAAATGTTAGACAGGAATTTGTTTGGATTACTTTATTGTCTTTCAATATCATCAGAGCATCCATCCATCCATCTACTCACATACATATAAAGATGAGTGTAGATCCATTTTCCCAATCACTTGATCCAGAATTTTGACCTTGAAAGCCATTTATGGTATGGGGCCAGGTTATTTGAGGGACTGCCTCTTCCCAATTACCCATCCCATCAAGTCCAGCAGAAGAGGTATGCTTCAAATCCCGTCTGCTAAGGAATCCCGTCTAGACTCAGCAGACGGACCTTTTCTGCCGTGGGTCCCACCCTATGGAGCATCACACACATCCCCAACATGCAAGTGATCCCATCCTTGATGTCCTTCCAGAAGTTCCTTAAAATCTGTTTATGTCAATAAACGGGGGGGGGGGGGGTGGGTATCTCAAGGACACGGGGTTTTAAATGAATTGCCTACATTGTGTGTCACATATTATGCTTTCCCTCGCCTTTTAGGTAGATAGGCAGATAGGTGGATAGATAGATAGATGATAGATAGATAGATAGATAGATAGATAGATAGATAGATAGATAGATAGATAGATAGATAGATAGATAGATAGATAGATAGATAGATAGAGATGATAGATAGATAGATAGATAGATAGATAGATAGATAGATAGATAGATAGATAGATAGATAGATAGATAGATAGATAGATAGATAGATAGATAGACAGACAGACAGATATATAGGCAGATAGATAGATGATAGGTAGGTAGGTAGGTAGGTAGGTAGGTAGGTAGGTAGATAGATAGATAGATAGATAGATAGGCAGATAGATGGATAAATAGATAGGTGATAGATAGATAGATAGATAGATAGATAGATAGATAGATAGATAGATAGATAGATAGATAGATAGATAGATAGATAGATGAGAGACAGACAGGATAAATAGATTTCATGTTTTAATCCTAAAGTGCTTTTGCAATTACTGGTTCTTAAAATAATTTCATTAAATGCTGCCTAGAGTCCCATTTCTGTGAAATGGGTAGCATACGAATATAATAAATAAAACCAGGTGTGCATTTCTGTCCCGAAGAAGGGCTGACCCACACATCTCTCCCAGCTTGCTGACTTCATTGTCACATGGAGCACAAGGTTAGCCAAGCTAGCTTGGGCGTTACGCCCTTCGTTTCTTGGGCAACCTTGGACTACCCCTTTGTTGTGGCAAGGCAACCCGTCTGCTACCAGCTTTCCAAATTAGCGCGGCAGACGGAGGCTAAGCCTCTTAATCTTGGTTGAGCTGTTGGTTGGCTGTTGCAGTGGGTAATACTTTAGTTCCAAACAGCGACAATTGACTGACAGCTCATTCAGCCCTACCAGAAAGATTGGTCTGACGGAAGACAAAAGGGACAGCGTATTCTCCAAGACAAAACTGGCACGGAAAGGAAAGGATGGGTAGAAATGCAGAACAGGTCATGAACCAATCCGTGAACGGATCTACTTGGCAGAGGGAGGAATAGCACTGCAATGATGATTCACAGCCAAGGAAGTAAAAGAAATCCAGTGTGGATTTCATTGGCCTCAAAACGGCCCGATACACCAAAGGGGATATTATTGCAGCACGGTATGAAAATAAAATGGCACTCATTGCCCTTTGTCAGTAAGAAAAGGTTAGACAATCAAGCTTATAATTGGGAATACAGAACCATGCAGATTCGCAAGACCTGCGTTAAAAAAAAAGAGCTATTAACCCCTTGACTTAACTGAGGCAAGAAAAGTCATAAAAAGGGGGCACAATCCATGACTGAAACAAGATCTGCCCAGCTCAGCCCCTTAAAACCACCATGATGTTTGCTAGAAACATATAGGTTGAGTTTTCCTAACATGTTTGGGTGGGGTAGTTTCAATCCACGTACTGTATTGTATGAACCATGACAATAACCCATAATACCCTTCATTTGTTTGAGCATCACCTGTTCATCCAAGAATTAATCTGGATTTAGAATTGTGTGTTTCCGGAGCATCCATCCATTCAGTTCGATCCCCAGTAAACTCAGTTGCACTTAATTCAATTAAACTCTCGGTGACCAATTTATTTCATTGATTCCAACAGTATCAAAATTCAGCCCGCTTTATCTGGAGGCAAGCCAAGAGTATATCTGTGCTCTGGAAGAATAATTTGAAGGTCCCTCCCATGCAGGAATCAAGAGATTTGTCTTTGCAAGCATCTTCGGTGAGGTCTTAATCTTATTTTTTTATATACATAATACATACTTTTGTTTGGTTTTGGTCTGCGTATGTTTATGAAAGTCGTGCATAGCCATTTATTACCCAAGGCTGTAATTTACTGCTCCCTGTTCCAGAACTAAAACTGGCCAGAGAGACAAGTCAGTTTCAATCTAAGTCAGCAAAGCGATACAAAGGTTTCCAATGTTACAGAATTTCTCAGTTTCGGCAGAAGGGCATGTATGGCGTAGGCGGACTGCGTTCTCAGAATTTGGGACGGGGTTACAGAACTGAAACTGGGTTTGCGAGGGGCGTTCCAGGTCAACAGGGTTGAAAAGGGAGAATGGGCCATGGGCAAAACAACGAGTTGGCCAAGACAAGGAAAAGATGAAGAAATGAGAAATGTTTAAGGTTACATATTTGCTCTTGGCTTCACCTGTTGCTTAACTACTTGAGTTTCCAAGGATGGCTGTAACTTCAGAAGATGTAATCTAAATTCCCCTAGAGCCATCAATAACCATCCTGGCCCTAGAACCCCATCTGATCCCATAACGCTCGCTTTCACTTGAACCTGCCTTGTAAAACAGGCAAAAGGACGAAAGGGAAAATGGGAGAAAATTAAGAGTACTGGATTTTGTTAATCTCATGCAACTGGAGTATTAACAACTGGAATATTCCTGCCTGCTAACTAACTGACTATGGAGATTCTCAGCCATCCAGGTCATGGTTGTCACAAAGGTGCTTTTTCAAAAAGCAACTGAATATTCTGTGTTTTTTTCTCTTGAAGATGTTTTGCTTCTCCTCCATGGTCTTCAAGAGAAAAAACACAGAGTGTCCAGTTGCCTTTTGAAAAAGCACAGTCTGTGACTGTGGGAATGTCTTGCAAACTCAGAAGATTCCCTGAATCCCTGCAGAAACTACATCATTTCGAGGGCACCGCTGTCCGATGGCTAAACAATCTAGACATCCGGCCATATGTTTAGCCACTCTACCTAAGTGCTCACATATAATTTAATTTTGTTCACAATTTTATTTATCATTTGTATTGTGCGCTTGTAAAATAATTCAGTGCACTGGCGTTTCATATTTTGATACACATTTTATAGGCTGTTTTTGTGCACTCGGATGCACTAATGCTACATTCTGTTAGGCCGTACGAAATAAATAGTAATTCTTGCCTGCTGATTGCTGCTTACCTGCCTAGCTCAGTTAACAGCTGGAATATTCCTGAGCATTGATGATGCTACCTGGTAGGGTAGTGAAACATCTGCAAGCAAAGAGTCACACTCAGAGAGCACCAAGGTTTTCACAATTCAACCCTGAGCCACGTAGTGTATATTCTTTTCTATTATTCCTGCCTAACTTGATAAGATAAGATAAGATAAGATAAGATAAGATAAGATAAGATAAGATAAGATAAGATAAGATAAGATAAGATAAGATAAGATAAGATAAGATAACCTTTATTGTCATTTTTATACTGTGGGCACAATGGCACACATCAAAAATGAAATTTAGTTGCCCGCTCTCAAAGTGAAGCACATACATGACATACATGACATGGAAGAACTGTAATGCAAAGGATGTAAGCAAGCATCTATTACCAGCAGTCACCACGAGACCAGGAGATTAAAGGAGATCTAAGTCTCTGGTTTTGAGATGTCGTCACTATAAAACAGTGTGAAGCGATTAAGAGATAGCCAGGTTTAAACTGTACACCACAGTTCTCACTCCTTCAAGAATTGCCAGCTATCAAACATGGCTACCCATTTCTGGAATATGATCGTTTCTCCACTGTCGTGTTCATCCTTGTCTCGATGCGAAATTACTCAACACATTTTGGCAATCACGCTTGAGAGCTTGCTGAAATCTCATGAAATTTGGGTGGGGTGAGGAGGGCATATCTGAACATCATCATTTCTGCCCTTTACTCTGTCTTCAGTGAATTTCCCCAAAGAGAGAACAGAAATAGGAACAGGTTTGGTTTCAAGCCTTTTAATTGTTCCATTGCGGGTGACTTAAAACACACGCAGGCATGCCTGGAAGAGAAATTAAGTTCTGAATAAATTAGGGTTGAGAAACATCGTCCCAGCAATGGAATGGAATGGATGCCCTATAGAAAAGGAAGCAGAAAAATCAAAAGGAAGATGAGTGGGAACGTTGTGTCCCGGAGAAGGCCATCTGGCTGAAACTCCTAGCAAGAGGAAAGATACTGTATTACTGGTCCCACGTCTTGCATTCCTGATCCAGGACATCTTATTCCAAAGGGCGTTGTTTCTTCTGAAACAAATCATTAACTTGCGTGGAAGGAAGGGTCATCTCCTAAGGTCATTGAAAAATCTGGGCGTGTGTTTTTATATACACTTTTTTTCCCTTCTTAATTTTCCCTGTGCGCATGTGCGAAAGAAAAATGGGGCAACAACGCTCCACACGGTGAGTCACTCCATTGGCTACTCTGAAACGCTCAACCTCCCTTGAGCATTTGACCTGGGGTCAAGCTATATTTATTTCCTTTCCTGGTTTTCTAATGGAGCGACTTGATCGTGACCTACTTGCTGGGCTAGTAAAAATGCCAGTTGGAGTTGTCCAAAACGATGAATAATTTCAGACACCACCTTGGAGGTTAAGGAGCTACAGTACAGGATGCAAAAGAGGATCTGGATTCCCTCTTTAAACAGAAGAGGTCATCAAACCCAACAGCTTTTGATTACAGAAGACTAAAACAAAAACCATTAACATGTCAAAAGTCACCTTTACTGTGCTACCCCCACTGTTGATCGAACCAAATTATCTAACAGAATATTTTGAGAACTATTTCCTCATCTCCAGGATATCAGCCCACGTCAGAAGGCAAGCTGACTCTTTCTCATGCTGTTTTGCCTTAACTAGCCTGACAAAATGTTAAGTGCCTGTTTCACCTCCGGGTTTATTCCACAACGTGATCCACTGTTTCTCCCCTCTGACTAAACTCTTCCTTCTGGTTGCCAAATTGCCGCCTTAGCGGGTGGTTTTCTGTTCCTCAAGACTAGAAATGGCCCATGACCTCAGCTGATAAATACCCTAAGATCGCCTCATTCTCCATCAGTGTTTACGGCTTGAGCCAGTGATAATCGGCGGACAAGAAAACAAAGAAATGTTATGATCAACCTCCCTGTTCCTTCCGATGTAATGAACATGTAATCAAGTATAGATGAATGAAAGAACCATCCATTTATTTTAGATAATAACATTTTGTACTTTATTTTTGTTCCCTCTGTGCCGTGGTCTCTTTTCTTTGGAATTCTGGAATTAGCTTGTAGATCTTTGCTGGAGGAAACCACGTTCAGTCTTAAGGTCTTAAAAGAGCCACTTAACAGTTGATGTCAAATATTGTCTGTGTGTGTGTGTGTGTGTGTGTATGAGAGAGAGAGAGAGAGAGAGAGAGAGAGAGAGAGAATCTTGGACTGGATGGCCCCCTGATCTAATTCCACACAAGAAGCTCTTTCAATTAATATGGAGTAATTCCCCACAAGATGGAAGAGTAGAGTAGAGTAGAGTAAACAGTCGGAAGGGACCTTGGAGGTCTTTTAATCCAACCCCTGCCCAAGGCAGGAAGCCCTATACCATTTCAGTCAAATGGTTGTCCAATCTCTTCTTAGAAGCCTTAGTATTGGAGCACACACAACCTCTGGAAACAAGTTGTTCCCTCCATTATTGAAGATCCTTCAATATTATGGAATGGCCAGAAATCAGTTATAGGAGGAACAAGAACTCAACAGAGATAAGAAAAATATTAGTAGTAAATAGAGACAAATCATAGCTTAGTGTATGCAAAAAAATCTGCTTTCCAACTATTCAGATGTGGCCCACAGTGGTCTTTCTCATCCAGGCCACCCTTGCCTTTTTCCAATCATTCATTATCTGAACTCCTTCTAGGTGGCAAACTGCAGGTGGTATTTGTCACAAAAGGCCTAGTAAAGCAGATCACAACTACAGAGAGGGAAAGACTGTCTCATTGGTTCTCCATATGGGTCATGGATGTATAAATGGAGGATGTGCGTCAGCTAAACAAAATGGCTTGTGGCTCTACAAAACCATCACTGTGCTTGACCAAAGGCAATGTGACTATCAGATCAAAACATTTCCCTGTTTCCGAAATGAGGACAGGGCATCGCCTTTCAATCTGCCATGGAAACATCAGTATCCTGGGGATGACCACAGTCTTTTCACCTATCCTCTTCCACAGATCAAATCTATTTATATTGTTTAAAACCAAGAGCCCCTCACTGGACCTAGCATAGTATAGACAAAAAGGAAAGCTGAACTACTGGTATTCTTAAAGGAATAACTAATACTCTCCTGGTTAATTCGCACATTTGCCGGTTCGATACCCATCAGCCAAAACTGTAATTCTTGAAATAATGTCTTGATGGAAATGGTCCTGCCCTTTTCAGCATTAAAAGTCATATAGAAAATGTGCGTTTTATAATACAACAGATTTAGAATTGAGAGATTTTGAAGGAAAAAAATACTTAAAATTAGAACATACATACACCGATCATTTACAAAGGTTAAAAAAAGAAAAAAATGCACGTTAATCTCAAATGGACCTCAGCATACGCTTAAACAAGCATGATATTGACCAGAAAATATATTGATTTGCCTCTCACTAAACCAAGATACACCTTGTTTCAAGTTGTTGTTTTCCTTGAGGTTTTAAGTAAATAAAAAGCAGTGGTCAGTGGCCAAAAAAAAAAATATGCTTGGACAAAGACTCTGCCCTCATCCTTGGGTTCTATCCAACAAAATTATCCCAGTGTTTTCATACCTGCTTGATAATTATGGTCCATAGCTTTGTTTTGTTTTGGTCTTTGGGTATAATTATTATGAACAGTGGCTGGCGGGACAGGTTATTTCATCCAAGGATTTGATTGAGGTCTGCTTATAAAAGGCGATAGGTGGTTCCAGAAAAATTGCAGAAAACCAGCCCTCCAGCAACTGAACCAGATTCGTTTTACATTGCTCCACCGCCGAAATGAAGCCTCTTGTCATCTCCGTACTGCTTTTGGCTTGTGGTAAGTCAATTCCTCTGAGAGCGGAATTGTATGTGCTCTTTACAATGTCTTTTATTTTAAAAAGTGGTTTCAGGAGATGTGGAGAGGTTTTCCCAATTTGTGCTTCATTTGGTGGTGGCAATTACATCCTTTTTTGGACAGGCGGTGCAAATTGCTTCCCAGAAAGCTTCAGAGAATGGAGAGACAGTGACCCTCATTCCGAGATGGCTCCACCGTTAAGCCAAATTGGAGTGAGGGCATTGCTTCAAGCATCACCCTGGATCTTGCTGGGAAGGGAAAACAGAAACGCGTCAACTAAGGCGGAGAAGAGACTCTAGGGCCTTTTCTGCTTCCCTAAAACGAACAATTCCTTTTTCAGGATTGGCTCTTGTGACCTGCTCACCTGCTCAGTTCAACGAGCTGATCCAGCTCAGCACCATCACCTACGGCCTGGCTAACTTCACCAACTATGGGTGCCACTGTGGAGCTGGGACTCAAGGCCTTCCCGTAGATGCTATCGACAGGTGAGGGTTTTTCCTCCCATGGCTGAATGTATCAACCTTTGCCGACTATCCACGGGGCATTGGGATTTCATGCTGAAAAGATACGTGGGAAAAGTGTTGGATGGCCAAGGCCTAGTACGGGTGGAATGTCCTAAGGATTCCACTGGAGTGGGAGAAATGAGAAAATGGGTGTAATCAGAGCTAGCGTGGACTTCTTTGGGTACTGTTTTTAGAAACTACATTCATATACACATTTAACCTTATTATCAATTAGCCCATTTTCTAGCTTTGCGTCATGTTTGAAGGGAGCTAATGCCAAGAAGTGCTGCTTTTCCAGGGGCATTGCCAGTGCTTTGGAATAGCTTCTGAGGGCAATCCAATTGGTTCCTTCCCTGATGACTTTCAGAAGGATGTTAAAAAACTTAATTTTTTTCAAGGAGTAATTCGGTTAAGTTCATGATTTGTACCATTTGTTATTGGTTTTACTCTTTTTTGCCTATCCTTTTGTTTGCTATTCTTAACATGGTTTGTTCGTTTGTGATTTTAGCACCTAGACATTTACTGTTTTTATTAGATGCATCATGGATTTTTTTTCAGTTGACGCAGGGGTCTTCAAACTTGGCCCTTTGATGACTCGTGGACTTCAACTCCCAGAATTCCTCAGCCAGCGTGCAACGCTGGCTGAGGAATTCTGGGAGTTGAAGTCCACGAGTCATCAAAGGGCCAAGTTTGAAGACCCCTGCGTTAACGTGTTCATATCATGTAGGCTGCTGAGCCCCTTCAAATTGCAGCGGCATAGAAACGTAATAAACGAACTGACAAAATAACTAATGATGTTCACACAAGACGCAAAGAAAGCTAACCGAGATTAAAACTAAAAGAGCTTCTCATTTTTTATGCACGCATTGCTAATTTCTTTGCCGGACAGAATACATGTTGTGCCAACAAACGATTCCTCCCACCCACCCCACCCCACCCCTGCATTTTTTGAATTTACCTGTTCTTAAAATTAGTATATTTAATTTGCTTCACCGGAAACTGCCAGAACCAAAAGAGAAGCCTCTGGCTGAATTATACATCCAGATCCAAAGTAGGAATGATATACTGATTTCAGATATTTCCTTTCTGCTGTGGCATCTACATAAAACAGGCACAGTCTTGCAGGCAGCTCACTTACCAAATTGAACTACTTGCCTTGCAGAAACAGTCAATCATTGGTTGGCACACCCAGGGAAGTCTCCATTCAATGTAAAGCAGCGAAGAACTCTGCCAGCCGGCCCCCTCACCTGTATTCCTAATTTCCTTCAGCTGCCTTGAGAGACAGGAGTTGGTTTTAAAGCACAAGTATCTCCATTGCTTTAATCTCATCTCATTTCTTGGAAATTTTTCTGCTATAAGATGCTGGCTGGCCGGGTGGGAAGGATGGGGCCTGTTTTATTTTACTGCTATTTTTATTTTTTTATTTAACCTATACGAGCTTCACCTTCCTTAAACCAGGGGTTCTCCAAACTTGGCAACCTTAAGACTTGTGGACTTCAACTCTCAGAATTCCTCAGCCAGCATGACTCAAAAGTTGCCAGGTTTGGAAACCCCTGCCCTAAATCATACCGGGACTCTCAGAGCATCGCAAGAAGTTCGTTCTGTGATAGGAGGAGGAGGGGGAATAAATATTATATATATTCTAGGGTCTTCAGCCAGAATGGTTGAGGACACAGAGTCTCAGGGCTGCATATTAAGAAAACCAAACTGGAGACATTACATACCTACGTGAAGGCGTTTGGTGGCCACTCCACTCCAGAATGAGCCGTGCGTTTTCATTTATCGCTTCTGAGCTGAACGGGTAAGATCTGACACGTGCGTTTTCTTTTTCTACCCACCCAAAGGTGCTGCCACAGCCATGACTGTTGTTACAACAAGGTGGAGATGTACGGCTGCAACCCCAAAGTCCTTACCTACAGGTTCTACGCCCAGGGAGATAAAATCAAGTGCGGTAAGTTAAAGAAATGCCGAACCCGGAGAATTGGATCAAAATAGCAGTCTGCATGCAGGTCAACACAGGAAGGGGAAAAGGTCCAGGCCACTGGATTGCTTGGATTTAGCTTTGTGCGATGTGGGAAGTCAGCCATTAATGTTTGCAAGCTGCAGTTATCCAGACTGTGGTAGCTTGTTAGAACACAATTTAGTCCAGAAGCTGGCATATTTGTAGCTTCTTTTCACTTGGGTTAGAATTTGTAAAATAGAAGTGGCCTTTGTGGGCTGCGTGGGGAGATGTAACCCCAGATTTCATACGCCCTTTTCTTTAAGGCAAAAGGGGAAAAAAAACCACCCCAGATAAACCAGGGGTGTCCAACGCTGGCAACGTTAAGACTGGTGGATTTCAACTCCCAGAATTCCTCCCAGCCAGCCAGCCAGCTGGCAGTTGAAGCCGACAAATCTTAAAAGTTGCCAAGGTTGGACACTCCTGAGATGAACCATGCCAGCAACGGTATTTGAATCTGACAAAGTCAGACTGGGCTACCTTCAGTCTACCCTCATATGTGCCCTTCGCCCTGGTCTCCCCTCTCCGCAGTCAAGTCAAGGGACCGCTGTGAGAAAATGGTGTGTGAGTGTGACCAGAAAGCTGCCAGTTGCTTCCAGAAACATCTTTTCAGCTACAGCCCTCAATTCAGAAACCTTCCAGTGGCCAGCTGCAGGGCCCAGCGGCCGTTCTGTTGAAGCTCGTTTCGAAGCAGCCACTGTCCCCGTCGAAGTTCTGTCTGCTTTCTCTGCAAAATGGAACCGCACGGGGAGGAGACCAAAGCTCTCTTTATAAGGAATAAGAAAAGCCAATGATATATGCATTAACCTAGGGCAAAATAAATACGTCATCAACCTACCCTCTTGTTCTTCAGCGCCGTTTGGCTTGAAAGCACCTGGTGCATTTTCCAAAGGGGGTGGGGGGGAAAAATCACACCCACGCTAGAAAACGTGCATCTGTTCAAGTTGGGTGTTAAAAAAAAAAAAAAAAGACATTTTGGGGCAGATTGTGTTGATTTGGCACTGGTGAAAAAACAGACGGAAGCCGACATGGGACTGAGCAAGTGTGAAACGGAGCCAAACGAAAACTGTCTGTGCGTTGGCATTCACATTCATTGCCTCTATAATAATAATAATAATAATAATAATAATAATAATAATAATAATAATAATAATAATAATAATAATAATAATAATAATAATAATAATAATAATAATAATAATAATAAAGTTGGAAGGGACCTTGGAGGTCATCGAGTCCAACCCCCTGCCCTACACCATTTCAGACAAACGGCTGTCCAGTAAGGATTAAAAAAAAAAGCAAACTAACAGTCCAGGATGGGGTTCTGCCAAAACCCCACATTGTCACATGTGAAATACAAGCCAACAATACATGCATAAACAGATGTGCAACCCACGTCACGTCACACCTCTGTGGCTCACAGAGCTATTTGCAGGTTGAGAAATGATGAAGAGATAGAGGTAAGAAAAAGCAGCTGAACCGGCAGTCCTCGACTTATAACCATTCATTCAGTGACTGTTCAAAGTTACAACGGCACTGAAAAAAGTGACCAACAACCAGTCCTCACATTTATAACTGGTGCAGCATCCCTACGGTCATGTGATCAACATTTGGGTGCATGGCAACTGGTGTGTATTTACAGTGGTTGCTGCATCCATGGGTGACGGGATCGCCATTCGCAATCTTCCCAGCAGGCTTAGTGACATGATTCACTTAACAACTATGGGAAAAAGAGGACATAAAACGAGGCACAACCACCTTTCTTAACAACAGAAATTCCGGTTTCAGTTGTGTTCGTAACTTGACAACTACTTGTACATACATACATACATCTGCTGCAGTGTGTATTTCTAGGCACGGGCATTTTTAAAGCATCAGAAATGTTTTTGTTCTTAGAAGTCTGCAGTTAATCCCTCCCTAACATATAATTTAATAGCATTACTAAGAAAGCAGAAGTATAAACATTTCAAAGGAAAACATTTTGGCTTCTTAATCTTAGGACACAAAGTACTTGTTCTAGCTTACCAAAAAACAAAACAAAACAAAAAAAAAAGAATGAAAGTCACCTGGCTTCCAGGCCATCAAACTGTCCCCAATAAAATTTATCCTATAAAATATAGCATGACATAATTTCTCACCAACTTAAAAGAGGTCCAAAGCAGAACACATTACAAGGAAAGTATAGTTGGTTTATTGGAAGAAAAATCTCTCCTAGGTTTATTTATATTCTTGTAAATAAGGCATTCCTGTCCATCTCTCCCACTCTTCCCCCCCCCCCGCTCCCCAAGATTTTAGAAATACTTATATTTTGCTTGGAGATATATTACATTTTTAGCACATAAACAAGGACTTCTATACACACTAAAAAAATTAAGCACTTGCAAGAAGACGTCTGTACCAGTACAAACTTCCGTATAACCTTGTTTTTTTTAAAAAAACACAACAACAAAACTATGAAACAATATGAGGTTTTTTTATATATATATATAAAAATAATACTTTCCATTAATTCTTGCTGTTTTAAAAAAAGAGAAGGAAGAAAAACTATGATCAAAATATTTTAGCAAGCAACGGAGGGCGATGGTGGATTATGGCTATACAAGAGTCGGCCGGCCGCCTCAGTTTCCCACAATACCCCAGAAGGCCACGTCAAGTGTTCTGGAGCACAACTGACATTCATACCCCCTATAACCAGACTTCAGCTTTCACCATAGAGGTTCCATTTTTGCCAAGGAAATGAGTTAGTTCCTAGAAGACATTGCCTTCAGTTTCTCGCTCCACTTTTTTTTAAAAAAAGGAAACCCAATAATGACTTTAATCTGCAGGCATATCTCTGGGACTGTTGGTTCTCACCTACCAACCATCAGCAAGGAAGTCAGCTTTGGAATTCCACATCCACCAACATTTTCTTTCAACCACAGCCCCTCCATCCATCTCTCCCCCCCCCCAGCAAGTTCCTACATTTACCCCTTAAAAATAAAACTCCCGATAAAAGTGGAAGAAAAGCTGGATCCAATCATATCCCACAAATGGACAGTGCTGGCCAGCCCATTCACTTCTGGAAGTCATTTGTTGCTTGGCAATGACAGATGCAAAATTTCAGTGAGGTTGGTCCTGGATTCCTACTTCAGAGCAGAGCTTGGAAGTAAGCCTGACCCCCCATTTTATCCCAAAGATGCTTTTTGAAGAGGCAACTGGACTTCCTTTGTTTTTCCTNAGACTCTGGCGGATTGAGCGGATGAGACCTATTAAAATAGGACCAACGATCATGAAGGCAGTTTCTGCAAGCGACGTGGTACGCTGAGAGCACGGCAAGACACGAAAGATGCCCTGGTCAACCACTGCGCCCAGCCCATCTCCAACTGTCTCGACTTTTGTCCTGCCATTGGAACAAGATGGAATCTGGGAAGAGAGAGAGTGAGGCTGACTATGCGTACCTCTCCCTCACTTTAATCCAATCCACGCGCAAGTCTTGACATCTTGACTTTCATAAGATGTCAAGGTCTTCATCGAAATCGATGGACAAACAACATTTGTTCTTACCTGATCTTTGACCATGTAATGTGTTACTAGAAAATAGATGCTTACATGAAGACATTTTCCAGTGAAGAAACCTTTGTCAGCATCTAATGGTTAAGCTGTGTATGTAACAAGTATATAAGAAGCAATAAACTCAGAGTTTGTCAAGCTGTGTCCTGCAGCTTCAAACCTCTGCTCAAGACATGCCTGCGTCTTTGTCTTAGCGTCACACACTCATCCAAGAAGCTTCTTCAGTTCTGACTGAATGGTGGGGAATGGATCAGTCAGTCAGCACTATCAGTCAGAACTGAAGAAGCTTTTTGGATGAGAAGTGACACGTCTTCAAGGAAAAACAAAGGAAGTCCAGTTGCCGCTTGAAAAAGCACCTTTGGGACAACCATGACCTGGATGACTGAGAATCTCCGTAGACCTAAACCACCATTTTAGTTTCCCACCATGCTTCACACTGACACCAGGTCAGGGGCGTTAACGGAAGCAGGAAAAATAGGTCGAGCCCGAGATCAGGAAGGGAAAATAATTAAAGGCAAGAGGAGAAGCAGCACACCTGTTTGAAAGTACCCACAGTCAATGGCAGTCCTGGGTTCAAGGCGATCCAGGCCCCTGCCTATCACTAGCAACAGGGATGCCATCCAAATCAACTCCCTGGGAACAAAATGTGCCGTTAGGAACTTTCTGATCATTGAAAACATCCTAAGCACTGTTGCAGGGGGGGAAACACCACAACAAAGCCATTGTCTGCTTTATGGAGCAGTTTTTTCAAGTCCAGAAAGAAGAGGGAAGGCCTCAAAGTTGTCTGAATTGGACTTCATGCTAACCCACAATGCAGCTGCCCTTGGAATGTGTCCCATCAAACTGTATTTTCTTTAATAAGCTGCAGTTAAATCATAGTCTTAAGACCCCCCCGATGAGCCAAGACTAGTAACAGATGAGAATAATCCTTCCCTATCTGATACTGGCATGCAATCATGATGACCTTTTTTGTCATATCCTCGCAACCAGCTGCCAGCAGCTAGTGAAAAAAACTCCCCGGCTAGCAAGGAGGAAAGTTGTAGAAAAAAAACTCTTGTTTTTGTTAATCCATTTCTGTGGCTAATAATTCTGGCAGATGTATTTACAAGGCCGTGCCATATTGTTCAGAAAGTCTTAGGAATGGGGGGGGGGGGTGGAAATTCCTTGGGGGAGGTATGTCAAAAGTGGTATACGTTTTGGATGACGGGTAGAGACATTGCATCTCGGATAGACTCCACTCTTCACAAACTCCTTGTGTTGTTTTTTTTTTTTTTTTTGTCACATAGGACCTCTCGTCTTGGTTACTGCTTTGAGGTTATCAGAAGTAAACGCCAGAGGTGAAAGCTATCGGTAAGAAGGGTGGAAATGAAGGCTACGTCGGTTGAGTTTTTCGGGATTGTTGGATGCCATGTGGGAAAAGTCCCGGAAGATGTCAAGGTAAGTGGCATCTCCTGTGGGAGAAAGAAAAACACAACACTTGCATCGATCACACCAGTTTAAGGAGAAGGTGGGATTTCATGCACGTTGGTTTTCCTCCTAGCACAGTGGTTCTCAACCTTTTTAATGCCGCGACCCCCAACCGGTTGTAAGTCGAGGACTAAACCGGTTGTAAGTCGAGGACTAAACCGGTCGTAAGTCAAGGACTACCCAACCGGTCGTAAGTCGAGGACTTTCCCTGCCCGGGAGCGCCGCGCATGCGTGGTTCCACCCCCTGCGCCGGCCGAGGCGTAGCTGGCAAGCGGCAGAGACGGAGCAGGCCGACCACCAGCTGGCCCAGCTCAAGGGAGGTAAGGCACCCGCCGGAAAAGGGAAAAAAAATGGCGGACAGCCTTGCTTGGCGACCCCCGTGAAATGGTCGATCGACCCCAAATGGGGTCACGACCCATAGGTTGAGAACCGCTGTCCTAGCAAATACAACATCTCGGTTAAGCGTAGTTTCTTGGGAGAAGAAGACTAGATGCCCGAGAATGCTGGCCATGTTCACACATCCCATTAAGCCACGATTTAGTAAGCAAACCACAACTGACTTGGTTTTGTGCCACATGCTGGTAAACAGTGGCTTGTAAATCTCTCTGGCTGGGGGTATGGTGTCTAGGACTAATGTAATCAGTGATATTAATTTTCTTGATTGGCCCATCACACAAATCGCACAGGTTACATATGTGGAAGACAAAATAAAAACTGTTGCATGGCACACTCGTTTCTGTTTCAGGGTGTCAACAGAGCCCAGACATTCTGGGTGGAAAAGGTAGAAATTACGGGCAGCAGAAAAGCATGTTTTGCTCAGCTGGAATAGTAACATCCACATGCAAATTATCTTGAAGGCAAGACCAAAAATTGTGTACTGTAGAAACGCACAAAGCCTGGAGTCATTTCCTGAAGGAGCTGCCCACGGAAATTCTCCAGGAATCTTAACATCGCTTCTTGGCTCCCGTTTCCTCCTGAATTTTCATCAAAAGGATATTTCAAGCATTAAATCCCAAACTGAGGGTTGCGTGTATCTCCCCATAGCAGGTTTTTTTTTTCCTTTTGAAATCTCCCAGTTCAGATTTTTATCAGGGATGCATATGTCCACAATGTTCAAACATTGCAAAAGGGAAAACAAACTTTTGATACAGCCACATTTGTGTGTGCAGGTTCTTTCTGGGCCATCTGTTACTGGTGTGTTACTCTTTTAACATATTAGCAAAAATGTTTCACACACAAAACAGCTTGTTACAATTGTCCAGATGATTACAGCCCTAATTTTGTATAAAACTGGGCAATGGAAACCAAGCAGGAGTTTTAAGAAACGGCTTTCCAGCTGGAAACAAGATCAAATGATTTGGAACGCCCACGTCTCAGAAGAATTTGTGGAAAACTGGAAAGCATCAAAAATTTCAACCACCAGCATCTCTGGCTGCAGAGTGAACTTAGATGGATTCTGCCCCCCCAAAAGGTGTGAATTTTTCATCTTTCTTTATATCCACATCACTTTCAATGAACGTTGTAAAAGGACAATAGTTTACACATCACAACCTGTTCTCGGCGTATGGTTTGGAGCAAAAGCATATTGTTGAAAAGTGACAGATTTGAGCAGGCCTACTGTGACCCATTACAGAGTGGGAGAGAAAGAGAAGCAAATCTAATGGACTGACGCTTATGACAGTTTTTAAGAGCAAGTAGAACCCTGAAGGAAATAGCAGCAAGAAGATTAAATTGGCAGAAATAGATAATTAAGAGGAGAGATCCTTATATTAAATGTTAGGCAGGGTGCAGAGAAAGCTAAATTTATCTCTTTTCGTTGATCTCCACCCAGCGATCAGCAGGAAGCTTGGGATAATTGAAAATCATCATCATTGTGGCAATCATCGTCCTTAATCTGGGCTCTAGGAATCGCCACCAATCCTTTCAACTTAATCTTTACACCCCCCAGACTGAGGAGAAACTCGTTATTTTCAAGTTAACAATAGTAGGAGCTTCAGTTTACACCTAGGTTGAAGGGGTTATGCGGTGTCTTGGCACATATCACCAGGTGTTGTTCCATCTGGGTAACTAGGCCGAGCAAAAGGAGACAGGTCAAGTCCGTTTTCTTAATCGTAACAATATTAAGGGACATGCATTAAAGTGGGATCTTTATCAAGGGTGCAGATGGAGCAGGGGATCACTCTTTTTTGGCTGCATGTTCTTGTTCAAAAGACATTTCCTCAGGAGCCACTTGTAGGTCCTGTTAGAAGTGGCTTCCGATGGCCAGATTCCTGCTAGCTCTCTTTACAAATCACCAGAGCTTTGAGCTTTCAATTCAAGACTGGCTTTGTCTCATTCCAGTTGCTATCTGCAAGCTTGCTTGTAAATGGGAGTTTTTGCCTGAATTGTTATCTGTATTACCTCTGGGGAGGCTGGCATGATGAAAGGGCAGGAGAGATAAAGTGCTATTTCCCCTCCCCCCCCATTTTTTTTTCTCTCTCCACACTTTGAAGTCTAAGCCCCCATCGTGTCCACAGCCGATTCCCCGGAGGATAAAACATAATATGTACGTTTAAGTTTGCACGTTTAAGCCAACAGCCCCACCTTTTGACCTCGTGTCCTTTTTTTGAAAGCAGCCGTAAACTACCTGCGGTGGAACTTGGCCAGGTGAGATGCACGGTGGGTCACGCTGCAGTCTTGCAAGCCCATGCTTGATTTTGGAAGGTAACGGTTCCGGAAGACTTTCAGAATACTTTCCAAGATTGTCCTCTGAACGCCTGCTTAGTTTTGGAATGTAATTGTAGCCAATGCCAGGCTCAATAATTCACAGGACGGAATGGCCTCCGAGTTTCGCTCGATGCCGTTTCCTTAGCAGCATCGAATAGTTTTGTCATTGGGGTTCCTGGGATGACCGCCCAGTCTAGCCTGTATCCCAGGCCACCACCACCAGTCAAGCACCACTGGTTTCTAATCCTGCTTAGTTTTCAAGTCCAGCCAAGATGGACTCTGGATATTTTGCTTAGATGACCTTAAAATGGACGGGACAACTTCAGGAAGAGTCAAGAGCATCCATCTTTATGGAAGTCACTCTGGGAAACAGGAGCCTTAACATCTCTGCTTGGGAGCTTCCCAAAAACATCTGGTGACATTCAATGATGCTGTGCAATATTCAGAAATAGGTTTGCCAAGGCTCACGCCCAGTTAAGCCTGTCTCCAGCTACAGATTAGGTGCACTTCTTCATTGAAATACAGCAAATAATAATTGCTGGAGAAAACGTGGCAGGAAATGCTTAATTAATTCCAGCGGGGTGCTTTAATAACTCCAATAAGACCCAAATCTCCCCAAATCACAATGACCACATACATTGTGGCTAAGGCCAATCTTTTCTCTTTTTTTTTGTCCCAAAGCTTGAGCGTTAATATGCAGGTGCAAGGCGGGGAGGGGGGGGAAGAAGTGAGAGATGACAAAATAAACACCAAGGTGCAAGAAGAAGAGGAGATAAAAGCGTTTACTCTAGATTTTTATTAACAGTGTTTCAAGAGACAATAGAAGGAAGAAGAGGAAGGAAGTAAAGACATCAGAGCATCAGATTTTTCTCTCCCCCTGCCCCCGTTCCCCACCCCCTTGGCTTTTCTCTGTAGGTGCCAAACTTTCTCTTTCCTTGTTGTTTAAAAATCATACAAAGGTAAACAACAGACAGAGAATTCAGGTTCAAAAGCAGCACTCAGCAGACAGACCAAGTAGGGCAAAAAGTGAGGAAGATAGGAAGTTATAAGAGGTGGAGGGGAGGGGCTTTTTCCCAAGAAAGAGGAGGAAAATAATAAAAATAAAAAATAAAAAACAAAAACAAAAAGGAACCAGTATTACAAAGACTGTCCTCAAAGCAGGTCTAAGAGAATAGAAGAGGGATCAAGATGCAGGAATGTATTTACAGTTTCTCAACCCACCATTTCTGGAACTTTTGACAACCAGAGCAGTACATTTGGTGGCTCTCAGAGGTTTCTGTGCATCCAGCTGAAACAGGTGGCTACTTTTGGGAGGCAAGGATGGAAGGCTGTCCATAAAAGTCCCTTCCCATCCCTCTCCCCTGGGTTACTCCACTAAACTAGTGTTTTTCTCCTGAGCGATGAGATCTATTCCCACAATCTCCTCTAGTATTGAAGACAGCGAGGGTCACTGAGTGATTTGGCCAAATATGTAACTCCTAGCTCAGGAAGAAAAAAGAAAAGAAAAGAAAAGAAAAAAAAAGCAGCAACTGCCACTCAACCAATCCATCGCCCTCCCCTTTTATTTAATTCAGTGCTGTTGAAATAGGAAGTGTAGGACCCTGGCTTGGAAAGGGCCGGAATTCAGTACGGCATTTCCTAACTTTACAATACAAAAATGTCTTCCTTTTCTAGTATAAAAATAAATAACGGTTTTCCTTGAGGTGAGGATGCCCAGCCCTGCAGAAAACATCCACGTGTCGTTTGTTTTTTTTCTTCCATGAGTCGGTTTTTTAGTTCCTAAAGAAAGAATGAGCACAACCCCGCCGGTCTTCTCCGGTCAGATTTAAATCTGATGCCATCCTACGGGGTTTACTGTACTGTACTGTACTGGTTAAGGCAGCGTTTCTCAATTTCAGCCATTTTAAGGCAGGCGGACTTCAGCTCCCAGAATTCCCCAGCCAGCCCTCTGTCTTAAAAGTTGCCAAGGTTGAGAAACACCGTGCTAAGGCACAGGACAATTAGGAAGACCCTGGTTCAGCTATGGAAGCACCTTGGGTTACTTTGGGACCTGTCACACTCACTCTCTCTCAGTCCAGCCCCACTGCACAAGGGGAGCTATAGGGAGAAACTGGAAGCAGGCGTATCGGATCCGCTGCCTTGTGCTCCCCGAGGACAGGCGGGATCTAAATCAAGTGACGAAACCCCTAAGAGACGCGAGCGTTAAGGCCACAGCCTTAAGACATGCAAAGTGAAAAGATGCTCGGAGGTACAACTCAACCTGACATCTCCCTCTGCT